TAAGCATTTTTGGTCGTTGTGTTATCAAGCTGGAATTTGCTTTGTCTGTAAATAACAAGCAACAGCTAATTCACGATCATCACTTGCGGTGAAATGGAAATAAAGGATGTAAATTACAACAAAAATACTGGGGGTAACTGAAATTCAAACTCACCTTCGAATAACATGCTAACATTCATTCCAAATGAAGTATCCAATTAATACTCCTGTCGGATCATATNGTTCAACCTAAGGGCCTTGCGGCCTAGTGTTACAGGTAACCTTTGAGATTTTAGCGTAAATTCGGAGCAATCAAAGAAATTTCAAATTCAATCTCACAAGCATAATTGATGGTACACAATGAAACGGCAACATTCATTGAAAATTCTTCGGAAAATATGAAGATAAATATGAGCAGAATAATCCGAATGCAGATATACTGCCAGTGACATATGTGCCAGGTCTTTCGCTATGAATGAGCAAAACTAAAGGCGCATGATTATTAATAATATTATTATTATGTCCTGGGACTAGACAATAAAAGTTGTTTGCTTTTTCAGTATTACTCAGTTATTGGGACAATGGTTTACCTCGGGAAACACAAATATTTAACTTGTCAATCTTTTTATGTTTTAAACAATACAGAGTTGTTCGCTGAAATCTCATTCGCCTACACTTGTGAACGTGTTAATTAACTACTTCTGCGTTTTCGGTCACATCGAACGACTCCCTATTATATGCTATCAATCTGCTGACAACTAGGAGGACGGTAAATAGTTATCAATCGTTATGCGACCAATGCAATATGATGGAGTTGAGTTTATGAGCCATATGGTCAAATCCCAATGGACTGGACACCCTTGTTACCAAAGTAATTGGTTATTGTGGAGTTACTCGCACTTCTATTCTAAAGGTTTAGAAAACTCTCCTATTTTTCAAAACTAGATTTGAAACTGCATCATCTCTCCCGCTCATGGTTTGTGGCCTTATGAAGCTACAATAAATGCTATTAGGTTTTGGGACCGATTCAATATGGGCACAGTATGCATTTGGTTCCTTTGAAACCTTCTGAGACTGCGCTCGATAAAACGGAGATAGTTGTCCGTATCATAACAGGGGGACGCTGGCGAATAAGCACCTGTGCGAAAATATTGCTAGTACATTTATTTTCTATTTGGCACAGGAGCTCCCGCGTTTACTCCAGAGCTGATTTGAAGGCTTCTCAATCTGGGGGTTGTATCTGTTACCCGAAAAAATCGCAACTTTAATGTATATTAAAGCGCTGAATCATTATGGATGAAAATGGAATTTTTTCAATACCGTTACGCTTACCATTCATAGATGCCTTTTCTAATAACAGCGAAGTCATTGTATAAGAGTTTATGGGAAACACTTGATATAAAATCACACAATCTGGTAGGAATACCACAAATTGCAACGGGAATAAACAAAATCTGTTAGATGGTTGCAACTAGAAGAATTACTGCACAGCACAGTAATCAGTGGAAGAAACCCTTTCCCTGGATGTAGTTAGCTGGACAAGAATAGAACTCTTCTTTCTTATCGTTCAGATAAAGTAGACTTATTTGATGACAGCGATAACTGTTTAATGAAATGTCTGGGTGAAAAACAGGTGTTCAGCGACCAGAAGAGCTAACGATGGTTCGTTGTCCTACAAGCTAAACGTGAACGTTGTGCAACGCGCCGTCAAATAGGGCTTCCAACGTTGTCATCGAATGAGCGGTCGTATTCAAAGCTAACAATGTTGAGAAAGAGAATTTGAGGCGACTAACCATAAGAACAGCAAGGTACACGAACTGGCCCGAGTTTGTTAGGATACGGAGTAAATTTAAAGTCACCGTACTTTCATTGTCAAAAGCATGCGTGTAAAAGAGAATACGATTACAAACAAATAGAGTAACTATCATTTTTTACTTCTCAAATGTTAAACTGCGTCCAATATGAATGTCCCGGCGAAAATAATTTGACAGGTTTTCGGACTCCAAATCTTCACCACAAGCTATCCATGCAGATTTAAACACCTCGTTGATTTGCACAAACACATAATGTATTTCTGAACTCGATTTCTTCTTCTCTCACAGTCTGATTCGGACACGACGGGTATCAAAGTTTACAATGTAGTTATTGAGGAAAATCCAAATAGTGAAACAATTTGTGGAGGAAGAGGAAGCACGTCTGTTCGCACTCAAAGCTTATACGAATAGGGCCATCAAGAATGAAAATATGAGGGATTGACTGCACATGAATTTCACGACAACCGCTATTGGCAAGACAAAGCAAAATCCAAATGTGTCTAGTGCAATAGCGTGACAGTGCAAATTCTCGGTGTATACTAAATGCAAAACAAGAGCATTTGTTTGCGTGTAACACACTATCCAGAATCAATTAATTGAGCCTTGATTAACTCTTCTTTTCCGATAATCCATGTGGCAACAACGATCTTAACTCTGCTGGTCACCCAAAAGAAAGAAAACATATCAGGCCATAAGTCCCACTAAAATTACTGATAGGAAACGTAGAATTTGGCAAACAGTTCCTATGAGATTGCAAGACATACTTGGAAATACACGCTTGATTTGTGTTACATTGATCGTCAAGCATTTACGATCAGTCACTCGATTGCCGATGCTTGATGCGTAGATGCACTAAACCGCGACGACCAAGTTTCAACCGTTACGGGTAATCAAATTTAGTAAAACACTAGAGGCGAAAAACACTCCTTTTAGACTATTACGGATATTTAACATCTAACTTGTTTTGAAAACGTCGACGGCCTACCTCTGAACACTTGAAATCTCCCAGTCAACTTCCATCTACAATACAAACATACAATGCAACACTTCGGCACTGTGTTTACGGTTTCATGAACCTTATATATATATATATATTTAAATGCTTGGGTTTCTATATCTCATCTCCTCTGATCCAGAGGATTGGAAGTGGACGGATTTGAAATGGCTCGCATAGCGTTTAGAACCTGCATCTGATTAAATAACGGTAGCCATCGTGCTATTTCCTTTGATGGAAACTTACATATTCTGATCATGACACATCTGTTTGCACTTACGCCTTTGCTCCCTGTGATTGAACTTCTGATCAGGCCTTATATATGCTTTTTCCGTATAGTTCTGTATTTGAGCAGATGAAACCAAATGTGTGTACCGGTGACAGTACATGGAAATCACTAATGACAGAGAAATCGTTTTTCCATTTGTTGTGCAAAGTTGGTAGCGTCTAAGTATGTGTCAAACTCCAACCAAAATCAATTTGAACGCTGTGAATAACTTTGAGAATGGAATCAATACAGATAGATCGCTGTACTACTGACTAATATGTTCATTCAAGTTTTCAGTATATAATGGCGGAAGAGTTCGTTTACGTTGCGCAGTCTGTTGTCTTGAAGTATGGCCCGCACGAATGGTTTCTCGGGCAAATTCTCGTACAAACAAAAATTCAAAAAACAGAAGCCATACTGACGGATTATTTTCTGGGATTTCTTTTTTTTCTTTTATTGAATACAATATCTTACTACTTTCAACAAAATTGACGCAACTAATCACAAGTCTAGCACATAACAAAAAAAGAGGTTGTCAAGCGATGGTGTTCATAACTTGGTGATGCTACAACCGGGCCACCACCACCCCTAATATTCGTGAAACCTGTGCTTCGTTGTGAAGGAAAATCGACGCTAAGGCTGCTAATCTTTGTGTTTCCCGAAAATTTATGGTCTATCCGATAAGGTAATCATCCCAATTTTTGGGATACAATCGAGCAAAAGGAGATAATGTAAAAGTCGGTATTAGAATGCCAACGAAACCAACACACAAAGATGTACAAGGATTACACAACAGGGAACTAATTCAAATGTATCAGTAATACAGTAACACAGATGACTAACAGATACACTTTGAGTTTACACATGATCTTTAGTTCACCCAAATACGATTGATAGAAACATTGCTTTCTGTTGAGAGATTAAAACACGCAACACTGGGGATGCAATGCGACTTCACGAACACGGTTTTGGCGAACATGGTCATGATATATATATACAAGTTTACAAGTTTAACGGATCACAAGTAAATCAGTTACGTTTTTGTACATCAGCGCTATTCATACGCTCAGCGCTATTCTTTACTTCAATTGAGTATTGGAGGATTTGGTTTAATTTCAAACGTGAATTTCTCGTGTACACAGTCAGCGAAGCGTAAACTGAAAAGGCAGCAAGCACTGGACGGCTGTTTTGACCTGATTGGGTCTCAGATAAGCGAGATCCGTAACCCGCAACAAGTTAACAAACATGAGTTGAGCGACATCGTGTAAATGGAAAATGTAA